CTCTTGAAATTCATACGCGGGTAAAATCACAGATGACATTTCTGAGCCTAAGAAACACCGAAATATGTTAGTTATGCGACGTAGTTAGCAATGAATCGATAAATTGAGCATTATAATTTTTTAAAAAAACTAATAAGTAAACGAACAACCCAAAAACATTTGAAGTTTTTGCTGATTTTTATTTTTCACTTAGTTAATTCGTTGATTTTACTTAGTACACAGTCTCACACGTACTAAACTCACTCTGTTTTAAGCTCATACTGCAATGTGCGTCAGGTTCTTGATAATCTTTTATTTTGGCGTACTACGTTATTTTGCATGACTAACACATAACGTGCGAAGCTGGTTTTCGAATAATGATTTCTTTGATTTGGTTACTACGGCATATAAGAAGCACAGAACTAAACAGATTTATAAACTAGACTACAGTCCATCTTCCTTCGTGCATATATGATTTCTTGAGTACACCTTTTCAATAAAGGAGTGCATGCAGCGCAGTGGTCGGAGGCGCCCTGCAATACACATGGAACCAATTCCTGCGCCCAGGGCTCACCAAGCCTTCCATCCGTCTGAGGTCGACGAATTGGCACCAGACTTGTCTGGGAGGATAGCAGCATTGGCTCGATACATCGATAGTCCACTGCGAGTCATTGTAAAGCCCAGATATGCATCCAATCACTCCTAACGATGCTTAATGAGGTCGAATGCATGGCGCATCCCTCAGGGATTGATCAACGCTCACAGCCTTATCTCTTATTTTATCTTCTCAGTTCGAATTTGTGTAGGACTAGAAATCCAAGAAAAACCGAGATTTGAGCTTAAATTCCTAGAATTTCCAACGTAAGCGCGGCATCTACAAAACCAATGATAGAATGAATTCCTGAATTATCAAGCTAACACTAGTTTAATAAAAAGGTTTGTTGAGCGAATGTATCGACGTCTTTATCTTCCTCGTACTCGATGACCCTAGACGATGGTTTAATAATCCAGGAGGGTACCGATTTTTAATGACGAGGTTAAAAGATAGTTGGTTTGAAAAATTCCAATGACACATTTAGAGAATACCACCAGGCCCTCAGCGATAGAATTCTGATTGTTCACTTACTTTCATGCTCGAAATACAGGCCTTGATGCAAAAAAAGTGGGTGAAAAACGTGTTTCATGGGTCTCCTACGACGAGAATCCAAGCCTAGTAGAGTAAAAGAACCAGCAATTTATAGGAGAAGATCTATATATTCCAATGGCTCTCATTCAAACAAAGAAGAAGTTTGACTTCAGCTAACATATTTTGGTTCCAGGCTCAAACTTGTCAACGAATGCTTAGGGCGTTCCGTTAATAAAATTGAGTAGATTTCTCTTCGATGAGTTGATGAAGTCTTCATAAGCACCGTAACGAACTTCCGATAATCCTAAATAGATCGAAACGATATGTAAATCGTCCCAACGACCACATACCAGTTCAGCCTGTTTTTCTGTGTACAAGTAACTGATATGTATCGATCGACACACGACGATCCAGACTGTTGACACATCCCATTCTTCAATTTTTGTTTATTCATGATGTGACATCATTCTACGAGTAATACCGTATTTTTTATGCCTTTAGTTGATTCTCCGATAAAAACAATGAATCTAATGCAAATACCGCAGTCTAGTTGTGGAAAGACCAGATTATTCCTGCCGTGCAAAATAACAATAGGCAGTAAATAGAAAAGTTAACATTATGATTTCTACTAAAGCCTCGTTTAACTGGGTTCAAAGCCGATTTATGCTCCCCAGATCAATGCCGTGGACAGGTGACTGCTGATAGTACCGTTAGGTAGAGCACTGAGAGAACGGCAGATCGAGGGCCTCAGCGGTGCCGTGCGTAACACGAGAGCCCCCGGAAAGGGTGAACGTGGCTCAGCCTGGCCTGGGGTCTGAGTTTTTCAAATATCTCAGCATCATAGTGGTTGAATTACACATTATACCTTGCCGTGAAAAGTAGTGATAGGTAGTCAATAAAAGTTAGCTAGATTTTTCTTCTAAACGTAATAACGAAGAAGTACGTTTTGGATGCCATAGAGTATCATCGGGCCTGTGATAATTTATCCAAAGTCGAGATAGAGCTTATAAGTTGGGTGGTGACTAATCCCTTAGAAAAGCAACATGCATTCAATTCCATTCCTAGGTGCATAGAAGTGATTCGAAACATCTGTAGCCTACACAATGACTTGCTGTGGCCTACTGATGTCTCAAGTTAGTGCTGCTGTCCACCCAGACAAGTCTGCTATCAATTTGCGTACTCCGAAGGTATGGAAGTTTTGGTGCGCCCGCCGCGCGTGATTGAACCAACGACCACGCGTGTATTGTAAGGCACCTCTAACTGTTGCGTTTAACGATCGAAATAGTGCATTGAAATCTGGCACCAGCTCTGAGAAAGCATAGCACGATGTTCTCTAAGGTTCACTTTCTAAGTACAAAAGGAAAACCATCTCCTCTCACCAGAGTGTATACTTATTTGTCGGTAGAAGTTAGACAAAAGGATATTGTTATCCTGAAGTAGAATCAACATAAAACTAACTACTGACGAGTTGTACGTGAAATCAACATAGGGCTGGTGAAGAATGAACAATCTGTAAGCCGTGGAACCAAACCACCCTCTATGGAAGGCAGTTAGAAATGGTTAGAAAATCAAGAAGATTCCAAATGAGTTCCAACCAGCAGAGCTTAAATTCGACGGAGAAAAAAACCTTGACACACTGCAGTGATAGCAATGGAACCATTATAAAAGTAATAGTTAGTTATCTTCCTTAATCGAGTGAAAAATGAAACCACAGTTAATGGATTTCAGCCATTTTAAGGAGTTTTGCTTTCCCCGTACTAATTTATCCTAGATAAGAATAAGTGGGAAGGAAAATACAAGGTACGTGGGATGAACGCCATGCATTACATCAAAGACCTGCACGTAGGAACATCTTTATGTAGCAAAACATAAAAGGACACAGAATAAAGGTCTCGGCTTTGATCAACCCCTGAGCGATGCCCCATGCATCCTACTTCATTAGGCAACGTTGGAGTTGATTGAATGCATATCTGCCCCTTACAAATACTCGATGGCCTACCTATGTAGCAAGTCAGTGCTGCTATTCTCCCAAACAAGTCTGGTCCAAATTTGCCGACCGCGGGGAGCGGAAGGCTTAGTGTGACGGAGGCACATGGACCGATCCCATAAGTATTGCACGGCGCCTCCGACCACTGTGCCACACGCGCCCTTACCCTCACGAAGATGATGGGATGATGTAAAGGTAAGTAACTTCTCAGATATTCCAGTGCAATACTGATTAACGATATAAAAAAGGTTTTTGACATAGAACGACTTACAAAATAACAAAATAGCCTCACTAGCTCACTAGGACGAAAAATTAGCCAATCTAACCTAGTAACATCACATTAAGGACATGTTTTAAAAAAAAGTAAAAACAAAAACCACATAAAATTAGCTATTCTTAAGGTTCTAACAACAAACACAGTGGCAAATCTATGTCTTATTAGAGCCTGTTTATACTATACCTTCCTACTAAAAAACAGCTACTTTCACGATGACCCTGAGTTACCTGTCTCCTTACTCTCCAGTGAACGAATCGCGTACTTCGATGCAAACAAATAGACTAGTGTAAATCCCTGTACCTGAACCTAAGCAGAACGTACCGACATTGGAATGGTATCACACACCATTCTATCCGATTATTCAACTCAGCTATGCACTTATATGTGAACAGGTTACGATTAGTCACGAATCAATCCATATCATTTAGCGAAACCCGTTATGAACCACATTAAAAAAGACCTGTCAGCAAAATGGTGCCAGCCACTACACATGTCATGGAGAATTTCCCATACTATGGAAAAATAGACATGGAACAAATCAGAGAGGACATCTGGGAAAGAAATAGAACATAGCGTGAGCCATGGTTCATCTCTCCTATCTTTCTCAACTATCTTGTTATCTTTCAGTTATCAATCAACGCACAAAACATTAGGACTGGATACAACTATGCAAGTACCACCCCTACCCTACCGCCAAGTTAAAGATGTTCCAAAAAAAAGCGTTAAAGCGTTAAAGGTGCATACCGTTCTTAAGTACCTATTCCTAAACGGACCATCTTTTCTACATAAAATAGGCACCTAGATAATCTGTCAATGAATAGAATGCGGTGAATTCCAACTAGGAAACTAAGAAGAATGTCATGAAATTGATGATCCGACATGCAATATAACCTCACCTTCGAACTGCAGCTCTTCGAGACGCATACCGATCTTTTGGACCACATTATTTACAAAGACATAGCATCTGTCTTCCATAGGCCTGGTCAGATTTTCTCTTGACTGCCATGTTTGGCAACAAAATGACTCCAAAAGTAGGATTAGGGAACGTCGAAGTGTAGAATCCTCGACCACATTCGAACAGTTCAGAATCTCAATCATAATATGCACATCCTTTGCTGCTAGGTTTCCACCATTTTGAATGCGTAACCTCAGAGAGGTAAGTTTATCGAGCATGTCAACGATATCGTTCTCTTCCATGCACTTTGTTTCCCTGAAGATCGCAACATACAGAAATGATGGATGATGACAAGGAATTGCCATATCTCTTAACTGCACTTAACTCAATGTGTAAAAAGTTCTGAACGAGCTACAGTTAGAAGCTAAACTTTTCGCCAGAAAATCGATTCCGGCTGATTTCTCCTGTTTCTTTTTTGCAACAAGACTATATCAGGACATAGCAATGCCTTCCAATAAAGTCAGAGTGGCTCAAATAGAACAGATTTATTCAAAAGGTCTAACAACGGTGAACGCAAACCAACGGGAAGCAAAAGGTAAACATGGAATCCACATATGCTCTACACGTTTAAGGGCCAACTGAAAACAGGGCTCGATAACAATTATAGAAAAAAGAAAACAAATGTCGACAACCATGTCCAATGATGGTGAAAGTTGACACCCACTTTTGATATCGCTTACTCATCGTCCTCATCTGATGATTCCTCCTCATCTTCTTCGTCATCATCATCCTAAAAACAACAAAATAGCAATTACAAACACAGAAATTCCAAACTAAACTGTATTACCTCTCCAACATCGTACATATCATCGCCTAGCTCAGCTTCACCGGTATAGAACAGCACAGCACGATTGATAATGTTGTCACGTAGCACCTGCCCTACTTCGAAATCTGCCCGCATTATCTCATGTGAATCCTTAATTGGAAGTACTCATGATGTATGGTCACTTATACCTGTCAAGTTTCAATAGCTTGCGGAATGTAGTCAGGTTTTAGTACAGTAAATGCTACAGAGTCACAACAACTGGTTGCATACCCGACATTTCTTTTGTGCGAATGCAGTATGAATCTACTACAAAACACTTAAATTCACAACTGCACGCACGACTTAATTGGTCGCTATGGAGGAAAAGAAATGAGGAAGAACGATCATTTTCGTTTTATGTAATGGAGAAACAATATGGAAACACCATCTCTTATTTCTCACATTTGAATTGTTTCACCTCTTAAAAGGTCAAAGGGTAATTTATCGGCGTTGAACTATCGATGAAGGATGGCGCCATACATTCGGCTTCATCAATCATCGTTGGAGGTAACTGAATGCATATCTGGCATTTACACTAACTCGCGGCATCCTACCGGTCTACAGAGACAGTGCCATTGTCCTCTCAAACAAGTCCTGTATCAATCAGTCGACCCCGGCTGATGGAAAGCTTGGTGCGCCTTCGGCGCGGCAATCGATCCCATATGCGTGCACTTCCCACTGCGCCTCACGCGTCCTATTTTTTTCACCTCGTAGAACATAAAGAATTACGTGAACCAAATGTGTATGAGGGCGAATGTCACAAAAACAACCCAAAAATCAACTCACGTCTTCTTCGTCGTCCTCATTCCTGTGGTCATCCATCGGAGGCACAATTGTGTCGAAGAAATTGAAAAAGCTATCAGCCTTCACCTACAATGCAAAAAGAGCATAAGCATCGTAAACGACTAACAAGTAAAAATAGCATGACCACAAGTGCAAACCGTTTTCGTGATGAACTTCCCGGCATTGCTACCTTTCTTCAGCTTCTTCTTCACAACCTTTCTCGTGATGTTCTTTCCTTCCTTCCAGTTAATAGTGTCGCTAAAGAAACAACACAGATCCAAAAAGGAAACGAAAAACAAGTAAAATAGTAAGAACCAACCCTATAGCACGTACGACAGAAGGTCCATCGAACGAGAATGGGTCTTCAGGATCAGGTTTGATTTCAAGAAAGTATTGCTTCTTCAAAACACTGTTTGTGAAGAATTCATTGGGGGAGAAGTGAAAGTAAATAGTGAAGCCCTGAAAAAACCCTGTGTTACAAATTTTCAGCACCTTGTCACCAACAGCAATTGAAAGCTAAAGTCGAAGAAATCCATCTTAATGTCAAAATGGATAATTCAGTAACTGATCAACAGAAATAATAAAGTACAGGAAGTCGCATGACAAGTAATTTCATAACTAAAAAGATTAGGGTTAGTATAGAAGTTCGCCCGTTTCCCGCTTCTTGACGCTGTTATTGTTGGAAAGTTCTTATTATCAAGCTAAAGTGTACAACATACCTTCTGCCTACTAAGCCTCATACCAGCAAATATACAAATAGGGAAACATTGCTGTCTTATGCATCTTTTAAGTTATTAAAACAAGAAAAACAGGAGTACTTTCAAATTGTTGTGTTTTACAGAGAAACAAGAACGGAACACGTCATCAAGAAAAGATATATTGTAACCCTGTAAAATCGAAGCACAATTCAACGTGTGGTTCAGAGGTTTTCGGTAACAATCCGGACCTCCGAGCTCTAACTGAAGAGTGAAGCCCGTCCAGCACTCTTATGCATCAGCGACGTCGGTTGATAGCTCTACCAAATCGAGTATACTGCACATCACCCACAGTGCGCTTGAACAATGTCTTGTGAAATTTAACTGGCACATACAACGTCTGTGCGGAACATCCAGTTCAGATCTTCCAAAACTATGCCATTTTCGGGATACAGGAAATTACACATAAGTAGCGAAACAGATAAACGGGTCATATAATAAGTACAAGTAACAGATGGATTAAAATAACAGTAGAATGGACTCCAAGAGAATGCGTTCTTTTGCAAGACCACCAAAACGATGGAAGGACTTGCTCGTGACTACCTTCAACCATCTGCTTTCGCTGATAGGAACGATTTCCGAACCACAGAATGGGCCGCGCAGACACCACCATGTTTTGAAACAGAGCACAATCATTGAAGACAATGGCGCAATAGAGAAACGAATGGAAATTATACTAAGGCCCGCTCAACCAGTAAAGACTAAGCAATCAATTAAGCCACCAAGTCACCTAATACTACCAACCTTATTCAGCTGCGTTCCTGATGCCGATAAATGACTGAGAATAGACCGTCTATAGTAACATCAAGTGAAGACAATCAAGGAATAAACCAAACGAATATAGGTCTCGTACTACATCTAACTCAAAGAGAACTGGTCGCTAGAATGGGCAATTACTCATGAATGGCCAGAAATGGGGAACGGCAAAAGTGAGGTGCTTTATCATAACGCTAGACGACATGAATCTACCAATTTGAGAAAACTACGATACAGCTGGGATGTCCTCCACCTGCCTTGTCACCACGCCCAGACACTGATTAGCAATCTATTCAGATCTCTGCAACTACCTAAACGGAATGAAATCCAGTTATCCACCCAGATATGCATAAGTTCCATGAAGGCACATAATTATTGGAAAGACAACAGAAGTTCATAAATGGCTCTCATATAGAGCTGACCAATGGTATGCCGAATTCAATTTACACATGTGAATAAGAAAACTAATAAGAAAAAAATGAGCGAGCTTTTGTATAAACTGACCAACTTTCTAAAAAAAAAGCTATACGTGATAGCAACAGTACCAACTTCACTTTAGAACATCTTTTGGATAAAATCTAAAAGACACAAATCAGTATGCCATTTCCTTACATGAGGGTCAACTTCAATTGTTGTCGTTATATCCATCAAATGTTTGAGTATAGGTTCGTCGTGTTCCTGGATCATGTCCTGAGTCATATCGGATCCCTTTAACACATGAAGCCAGAACGATGGAACACCTTTGGAGCCATCATCTGGGTCGGATTTGTCATTGAGACACTAAAATGAAGTCAAATTAATACAATGCTAATCAGAGAAACAAGCTTGAACCCAAGAAAGCTACTGAGGCCACCGTGACCCAAGAAATAACTTTTGCACTTGGCGACCCTACAAGACCGCTAACTCTACTTCCACATACTTTAATCGCTTCGTCTCGCAATCCATGAATAATGGGAAGATTCGATTCCTCATCAGTTGGTTCATATTCACCAGCAACGATTTTTCTTCTCTAGAAAACCCCTTTCGATTATGATATCAAATCATCACGTTATAAAAGAACCTTAAAGTAAGCCACCTGTTCATAAAGCTTATTGAACTCAGGTTCGAATTCCTTTTCCAGCTGGTGAACCCGTTCGTAAAATTTTGCCTCCAGCTTCAAAACAGAACATTCATTACTATGAAAGTAGAAATAGCAGTGTATCTGGTATTGAAGACCTGTACCATTACCTCAATACTATTGAGCTGAATCTTCTTGAGGGCACAGACTCGCTTCTTCACTGTTAACGGAATCTTAGCGACAATTTCTGGAATGCTAGCTGGCATTTCATTGTCCTTGAAAATGTCAAGATCGCGCTTGTCGCCTTCCATATTACCTGAAATTTTCAATGAGCTAACTGATCACTAACAAACACGAGGCAGCGTTCTCGTGTCAGCACAATCAGAATAGCTCAATCAATAAGTTACCTAAAAAATAAATCACGATATTGCGAAATCATCAACTCAAGTAGACCACATAAACGTAATGACATTACTTAATGTAATGTTAGACAAGTTACTTAGAGCAAATATTAACCATCTAACTACGATAATCATAACTAACGAGGACAGGGACAAACAAAGAGCGCCATTCGAACAGTTTGGGCGAAAACTGAGGCGAAAACCCCGCCCATGGCGCGTACGATAACAAAATCGTTTCAGGACCCATCGTACGAAATACGTCATAGGACTATCGACGGTTGCGCGAATACGTAGTTGGAGCGTGGAAACATCCATAGAGAAGTGGTGGGGTTCTCGTGAGAAGACAACACGTGACATATATGGAGACATATTCAGATGAACTAAATTGGAGAAGAATGAAGGAAGACTGATCCAGAACGTTATGAAAATATTCACGGTAGGAAGGTCATGGAGCATGATGTGGTCAACCAGCAACGTAAGCGCTAAGCGAGAGACTGAGTGAAGCGTGTAGTTCTTATCATGAAGGTCACAACTCGCTTTATCATGTTCTACTTGTTTAACACGATGAAATCATCACTTTTCCGATAGAGATGGTTCCTAGTTGTTTTAACTCTGAAGACGAAACGTTTTGAAGCTAAACTGACTTCACGAGATGCCGTCAATGTACTCGTACTCCATTATGAACTAGTAATCAAAGCGTCATGGATGACGTACGTCCTTCAGGACTAGGACTTCAAGACGTCCTTCATTCGCAGATATCTTTCACCATTTAAATCTTGTACTTAGTGGACCATCACTTGGATTATCCGCTATGATGAGGACGAAGATGTCAAAACGTTAGCCGATCTTCGATCTTCTCTTAATCAATCTCGTGTTAGCTTAACAATCCAAGGAAATCTTATACTTACTTAACCTTTCGTCCAACTCCGTCCATATGTGTATATGTATATATGTATGTATGTATGTATATATATATATGTATATATACATATATATATATATACTTCAGAGGGAGGCCAAAGCACATCCTTTCGGTGGAACCCAATTTTGAACCGTTAAAGTATCACACTGAATTTTCTAATGTTATACTTACATTATATATATATATATATTCGAATCGATCGATATTCGATGAAAGCACGCCAACTACGTCATCGATTGACTACTATTGATCCGCTAATACTATAACGATCAGAAGAAGAGAACCAGACGGAGCAAAAACTTTGCGACGTTTGCAGCTTTGCAATGTTTGCAGAGATACGATGTTCCACTAGTAGTTACGCTCAACGAAGAACAAAAAGTGACAAAAAGACCACACAAAAGTAGTAATATAACCAGTTACAGAAAGAATACACATGAACTTTGTACCCAGAAAAGTGTAGAGAAGATCCAGACACTACCAATGAGAATTGCTAGCAATGATTTTTCCCAAAGATGTTTAAGTTGATACCGATCTACGGCTTGAATGGCCCCTCCTCAATGGTCATGCGGGCCCCAGCACAATATCCAATTTTTCGGAGTTTTGCAGCTTTAGCCACTGTTGTTTCCTGGAGTACTGAGGTTAGTCAGGCCAAAGTCTGCCACAGGTCGGTCACCACCACAGACAGTCGTCGCTCTTGTGGATCAGAGGGAAATTGCGACCATGTGACTAGTTTGATACCAAAACGGTGGGAATCCTGTTATTGGTTTACTCTTGGATGGGCTTCCTGATGGAAACGCCGGACTCCTTCTCAGCCTGGCAGACCATGCTGGGGGATGAATCTCCACTGTACATCGCAGCCCGACCGACGCCCAGGAACACCTCACAGCCACGATGAGGCGATAAACCGCTGGGAGGTACCGAAGTGTGACGTTTTCGATTATTCTATAAACACTTTAGAATACAACTTTCCTTTTTAATGTTTTATAAACAGTAGTTAAAATAAATGCGTAACTCCTATAGCATATATGACCAGCAATTCATATGCTACTGAAAACAGATCTAAGTCAAACCATTAATATGTTAGTAGCACAAATGCGGAAGAGTACAAAACGACTACAAGTATATCCGAGTAGGTAATGGAACTTACGGAACAGATCCATCTATTATGATATTTATTATATGTGTATATGTATATAACGCAATTGATAGGTATTGATCGGTGATAGAAGGGGGCTCGTAGCTCTGTGAGACCGTCAACCTTCGGGAATCTATCGAAGAGGTCAAATATGTTTCCTGGACAAAGAAGAGTAATATAAGTGAAATGTATCGTAGATTTTGATAAGTTAAAACGCTGGATGGACACTGATTACAGAGAAAACGGCACACCTGTGTTCTAACTGGTGCATTCTAAATAATGGAACACATCGATGAAAGCAAATTAGTACTCGAGTTGGGCGAAACCCATGCTTGAAATTCTTTCCGATCTTCGAGACCTTGGACAATAGCCAACGTTAAGAATTACATTCACCCATCTAGAAAAGGAATAGCACGAAGATCTTCTGTCAGACGAATGTCATATCCGAGCTTGACGAAGGATTCAAACCTGTCCAACACCATGCTACGAGGATAGGATAGTGGTCGGTAATATATAGTAGTTAAAAACTACTAGAAAGTAGAACTTCATAAGCCCACTCATAAGGAGATGTCTTAGACCTCGCTTAATACATATCTGTGGTACTAAGTGAATCTTGGAGCAGACTGTGATTAGGCTGACCTCGGGACTACATGGTACTACAATGGCTAAATCAGCAACACTTCGAAAAAAGTGGAAATTTTGCTGGGGCCCGCATAACCAATGAAGACAAGATGTTAAACACCGACAGAAACGGCCTATCTATACCTGCAGGGATTCGTTGACGTTCTCATTGGTACCTACAGACAGGTTCCAAGTACACCTTGGAAAAGACGAGTAAGCTAACCGGTCTTGGATATCTACTTGGATACTTTGATGGCCTGTCTTCACTGGTTGTGTGGACCCCAGCAGAATTTCTACTTTTTCGCAGCTTTGCTGGTTTAGCCAGCTATCAGGCCACTGTCCGTAAAACGGTTTTAACCTAACAAGCGGAGCTTTAAAATAAACGACAACAAGAGCTTAGTTATGGACGTCAATTTGGATAGCTAACAATCTTAGTGGGTTTAAAACGTCGAAACCAATGACGATATTGACAGTCTTCTTCGTCTATGCTCCAGGATCGAGCTCCGAGATTGACGTATGAACTTGTGGAAGTTCTACAACGTATATGACAACTTCCACAGGCTTCCTGAGCTCATCTAGGACCGCCAAAAGTCCCGATATTGAACATGGGAGTCTCTGAGTGGTGACCATCACGAGTAAATGTTTACATCACTGTAAATCGCAGTTCCTATCTAACCAATTTCGTTTGCTCTTCTCTCCATTTGGGATTGGTAAATCACTTACAGCAAGATCTTTTTAATCTCAGAAAAGGAGAAAAAGCTTAGAAGTTTGGGTAACGAGATCTCAAAATGGCTGAAAATTGCGATTACTTTTGCAGTAGATACCGGAGCTCATAAGGAATAAGAGCAATTTCTCTAACACCTTTAGAAAAAAGCAACAAAGCGTTGGGCAGAGACTAATCCCTTAACGATGCAGTTACGGGTACATGCAGTTAATGTTTTCAATTTCCCAGACACCTCTAACACCAATCTGCCAAGCCCAGAGAGACCGCAGGCTAGGTATGGCTAAGACGCGAAATCGGACCATCCATGCCGAGTTAATGTATACCGCATGGCATCTCTGACTACTGCGCTAGACACTTTTAAACAGGTTAGGAAAGCTGAGAGTTTAAATTTGGAAGCTAACAAGAAAAGTGTAGCGAGGAGAAGAACTACACTAAGTTCTCAACCCACTTTCTCGAATCCATTTTTTTAACTTTAGTGTATACCTCTAAGCCTAGGACGTTAACAGCTTAAAAGATCGCTAAGAGTTATTAAACGCACCACAGAGTGTGGCCAGGAGTACCACATACCTAAGAAGTCCAAGCGAGAGGATCTAAAGCACCTAACGACTTGTACTACCAAAATTTAGAGAATCGAGGTATACGCCGTTGTGAACTAGGTAAACTCAGATGATCAAAGGTAAAACAAACGAGATAAATTATATTTATTGCCAGAAAAAGTTTAAAATCATCTTGAAGCCATACGACGACATATTTAGTGGCAAGAAGAACATGGGCGTGACGGATAATAGAAGGAACATCAACACGTTTAAAAAGACATAGAATGTTAATGATCAATCAAGGACATTCTACGTTTGCCAGATTATCGATTAGCGTTTCATATATTTTAACACCTCGCAAAAACACTGATTCATTCAGAAATTCGTTGTGATCATGCAGAAGTGAAGGTGTATCGATTATCGGCGAGAATCCTATTGATCGATAGCCCAACTGGAATGACGTGAAAAGTACAGATACAGAGAACAATCAGAACTGAAGGACTAATGAAATTTAAAAGCAAATTTTTTTGAACTAGCTAATAGACAAACGAAACGAAAGACCTGCATGGCGTTGAGGTTAATGCGTTGGCCCCCGGAAAGGGTAACAGCGCGTTCGTTCCCCACCGCAGACACTTGCGGTCCGTAGTTTTACAAATATCTCAGCATCATTATTGCATTACTAGAAGGTGCTACCGCTGATACCAATGAAATGAAACGGAATGAACCACTTGACAAATCAATATTCATACCTCACGAACAAATCGTGAATCAGTAGCGCCACTAAAGATCTCCTTGTCAAAGTCGCACTTCCTAAATGGATATCTAGGAATTGAAAATAACGCTCCTTTACAAATTTCGGTAATGTGCAAATGATACGATGGTACCATTCTAAAGAACAGAAGGCCCTACTCACTCTTTCTGAAGGGACCTCTCAAACGCAGACCAGAATGGATCATCGTTTGTCGTCGGCGTTACTGCATTAATCTCCGATTTCTGAAATAGACACTGAAAATTGTTACTCTTTCGTTTATCTTGTAGAACAAAAGTTCAACAGCTTTTGGCAGTACAACAGGACTTATTATGATGTAATCTTCACTTACTTGGACATATTTAAACGTAACACCTGGACCAGCATTCTTGCACCAACCAGCAATAATCGCTTCCATTTCAGAGAAATTAATAGTTGGAGTTACACGTATGTCGAGTGCTGAAAGTGAGAGCAGATATACGGGAAAATTAATTTTCTCTCCATCTATAAGTAGATACGGGTCTAAAAAGTTGTGACAATTTTTCAGTAGAATCCACACGCAAGATGACCTATCCCAGAATGTTACTTTCTAACTTGGATACTTGGATGACCCGTCTTCACTGGTCATGCGGGCCTCAGCATAATTCCCATTTTTACGGAGTTTTTCTGGTTTAGCCAACGTGGTTCATCGAAGTCCCTAGGTCAGCCTGGCCAAATTCCGTTCCAGGTCGTTACCACTACAGGCAGTCGCGGAGCTTGTGGATCAGAAGAAGAGTTGCCACCATGCGACTAATTTCATAGTAGGAAGGTGGTGGATCCTGATATTGGTTCACTCTTAGCTGGGCATCCTGATGGAAACGTCCGACTCCATCTCAGCTTGGAAGGCCCTGCGATGAGGATGGATCACCCCACTGTGCATCGTAGCCCAACACCCAGGAATACCTCCCAGCCACGATGAGGCGTGAAACCTTTGGGAGGATCCCAGATGAACTTAACAACTATTCGATCGGAAAATCGCTGAGAGAGGTCATTGTAGCAAAACGTTTCCCAATTATTGGTAAAACACCCGTTAACAATACTACATCGACCGTTACTGCCTATAAAACGAATGAATCATAGATAAGGGCAGGAAAATATTTAATACACTTTTCATTTTGGCGCCTACTGCTTTTCAAGCTTGGGTCCGAAGCCCAGCCAAGGTTCCGAGTTTTACACATATCTCAGCATCCTTATTATTGTATTTAATACCGCATTTCAAAAGTTTGCTGCCTCGAGAATCTCATATAACACTAGAATAGAGCCAATCTCCAGTAGCTTAAAGGTGCTTGTGAAATGTTACGGTAACTGTTTTCACTGCATTGATTAGGTAATTCCTTAGGAATAAAGTAATTGCCAAAGTCAGAACCAACACATGATAAACTGCTCCGGCAATACGTTCACTTGTACACCACCATTGATTTTTGTGATATTCACTGTCGTGACATCACCGAGCCGTTTCGACGAATCCGTTCTTAGCATGGATCGTTGTTGTTCACGGAACGACAAGACACTGTTGACAACGGATTGCTGAACTGTGCATGAAAATTGTTGCTTAGAGGAGCACAATATCCCACTTAAAAGAAGTGGGAAACCCAGCTATTAGTGAATTCCAGAGCACTTAATGAAACTTAAACATGTACCAGTTTCTCTACAGCAGTGTTTTCAATGAACTTTGAACCGTGTCCTGGTGAACCGCTACATGTGATTTCCACCCCTGAAATGGATATATGAAAGGCACAGAAAATCTCCTTCCGTAGAATATTATCTCTCACTTACACCACGGATTACGCTCTCCATAGTACACCTTGTATGTTGATGTTTCACTGGCCAGACCTTCGTCGAGCATGAAGCCCAGGTTGAGTTCACGAAACTCAGGCATTTGCACGAACTTCTTCATGCCGTCCACACCTCCGATCTCTTCATCTATAACTTGATTACATAGTACAGTAAAAATATCTAAACTCTTTTCAGCATGTATTCTTTCTTTGATAAGTCAGATCATCGCTTCCGATGATGACAAAGACGTCAAAACGTTAGACGAAAATAAAGACTACTTATAAACCTCGTGTAAGCTCATCAAAGGAAGAATACATATTGATTATACATGACAAGATTAAAGAAAAGGTTTTGAAACTCTTTCCAGTGTGATACAACCACAATGGTGCTGAGATGTTTGCAAAACTCTGGACCGCTGGTGTCTACGGTGGAGGGCGAACCTGCTATCACCTTTTCCAGGGTTAATGCCTTCACTGCCACACCATGCATGTCCTTCGTTTCTCCTTTCTTTCAGCATCGTATTATTTTCAGTATTAAAATATTTGTGTCGAAAGTCTTTAAAGACGTGTAAGCGTTACCTGGACCCCAGACAATATGAATGGTCCTCAACCACTGTTTTTTACCGCGTAGAAAGTGTCTTCGTACTGCTTCGAAATATTGCGAACCAACACACTTCATGTCTTGCGCGCCACGAGCATAAATCCTGCCTTGCTCGTCCTTATGAGCTGAATATGGGTCATGCATCCATTTGTCCTATAATGTTTCCAACCGCACATCAATTTAAAATCATTAATTAAAACAGATGAAATTTTGAGTAGTTCGGTCCCTTGGTTTAACCTTAATCTTATGATATTGTAAAAACCTTTCTAAATCGTAGTAAAAGGTCGGAAATAGGAAATATCTCCATCATAGTTAACTTTACCTTAAAAGTAGGAACCACGTCAGTGTGAGAGTACAGCACAATCGAAGACAAGGCTGGTTTTAATCCAGGAATTGTCATTATCACAAAAGGTTTGCCGGGAACAGCCTGGAAAGTGGGGTAAAAAGTAACGACAATGGGCTAATATTGGAAATTACAGACAAAGAAGAACATAACTGATGAATTTCTGGAATATAGAATAATATATATGCCCTGCCATTAAAAAAGAGTAGGCAGTAAATAATAAGTTAAAATTGTGATTATAACTACAGCCTCAGCTTAACTGGGTTCATTGCCGCTTTGCGCCCCTAGATCAATCCCGTTAACGGGTTACTGCTGTGGCAAAGATCGATAGAACTAGCTGAGAGACAGGCGAAACGAAGGACCCGGACGGTGTGGTGGTGAAGTGCGCTGCTCACCGGTAAAGACAACAGCGCGTGTTCGTTCCCCACCGCATACACCTGCGGTCTGGAGTTTTGCAAATATCTCAGCATAATTGAAGTTAAAAGGATAAAGCTCTCGGCGTTGATCAATACCTGAGGGATGCTCCATGCATTCGACTCCATTCTTAGCATCGTTGGAGGTGACCGAAAGCATATCTGGTCTTTAGAACAATTCGGGTGGCCTGCCAATGTATCAACCCAGTGCTGTTATCCTCCCAGACAGGTCTGGTACCAATCTGCCGACCCTAGATGGATAGATGACTTGGTGAGCCTGGGCCGCGAGGATCGATCCCATGTGTATTGCGAGCCAACTCCAACCACTGCGCTACACGAGCTTCATGATATTAACAAAAACCTACTAAATGAGAAAGAATGAACAGGGATAATAAAATGAACGAATTCCTTTCTATGAGAGACCTCTCTCAGTAAACCGATTAGTACTAGGTGCAACATACCTCTACGATTTTGCTTTGAATTCCAATTTCATCAGCGAGACGAATGAGAAATTTACGGCAACTATCTGTAAAGGGATAAGTGGTAATAAAGCGTATTACACCAGTTAATGAGAAATCTGAACGCTTAGAATTCCATGGATTTTCTTCATATCAGGATTCTCGAACCGTTTAGCCACGATCTCCCGTTAGAATTATACAAGTCGATCACCTAAAGCCACATACAGACTAAAGCCACCCAGTGTTTTCATGGACTGAAACTCAGGTGGGTTCATGAATGAGCTTTCCATCCCAGGTAAGGCGAATCCACCTAACCTCTTATATTATAGTCGCGATTCATATTCCCAACACCAAGATCCACTACTGTCCTGATATCAAACTAATCGCTAGGTTGCAGATCTCTCGCTGATCCACAAGGGTTGCAACTGCCTGAGGTGGTGAAGACCTGAGGCAGACTTTGGCCAGGATGACCTCAGGACCCTAAGGAGCCACAGTGGCTAAACCATGAAAACTCCGAAAAAATGGAGATTGTGCTGGGACCCGCGCAACCAGTGAGAACGAGCCGTCCAAGTATCCAAGTAGGTATTATTCTGATCACAAGATATATCCTGTATCTCAAATCACTCGAAAAAATTTAGTATGTCGACTAGGAAGTAAATGGGAATAGGTCAAAATTCCTTAGAACAACGTGGTCCATCCTTACATCTGGCGTGTCCAACAAGTTATCCGGTATACCAAGCCATCTATGGCACACCATCTTAAGGGAAACGTCATCGCCTGCTCTCCCATAGACGATAAGAACAAAAGGCTAAAAATATAGTCCAGTTCTGTTTTTGAAACGACAGGATTCCATTGAGAAGCTAAGGACTGTCATAGGGAAGAATAAATGTAGAACAAAATAGAACAAATTACCGGCCTACCGATTCATTTATTATCAATGGCTAGGTGGACAGGTAAGAGATGATTTTCATGAGAACATGATTCTGGAAACCCACCATAATCCGGAGAAGGCTGCTCAGTGTTTATTCGTAGATATTCACGGAATTTCGTAACAGCGATGTCCTCATCGGACATATCTGAAATCGTAACTTCAACTGAAGGGAGACTTTCATTAAGGAATTCTAGAACGTTCACATGAACCGAACTGTGTTGTTGACAGAACTACGATGTCCACATTACCACCAAGTTAATAATCTGAACAAGGGTTTCACTCTTGGTCCTTGCCCATCCTTTTTCTTCTTGAAGGTTTTTTAATTGACTTGGAAACGTTTTCGGAAATATCCCACCGAGGATAGAGGATTATTAGTATTAGTTAACCCATTCCACCCTAGATGAGAATCATAAAGTCCATAGCGGTTTTGACCAAACGACTCTATGAACACTAAGTGTCCATACTTAGTTTAGTAGGTTCCAGAGCATTCTTTATGATACTATGTATGTTCAATCGATAGCTAGTAGAAAACAGAACAAAACATTAGGGGTAATAGCAGAAAAGCCGTTCTCTAAACTTAGTAATTTACCAGAAACCTTCATTCGAAAAAGTTCACGGACGGGTAATTTGACTAGCAACCAACAATGATTTGATTTCAATCCTGACGAATCGTGGTTACCTCATGGAATGTATGGGGACAAAAAATACCGGAACAAACTCGATATAAACCGGGAAATACTTCTAAAACCAGAAGGAATATATTTGGATAATGCACCACAGTAACACAAAGTACATAGTAGCATAGATATCGTTCATACTCGTAGAACGACAGATCAAAGCCTCAAAAAGTCCACAACCGATGAAAAAATGCGCATACTCGACCGGGACCAGCCACAAAAATCGGCGCCCGGACGGATTGGTTAAAAAAAGGTCAATCTTCTCGGCGCTGTTCAATCTCTGGGAGATGCGCCATACGTCCGACTTCATTAAGCATCGTTGAAGGTGAATGAGTGTATATCTGGCCTCTATAATGACTCGCAGTGGCCTACTGATGTATCCAGCCGGTGCTGATATTCTCCCAGACAAGTCTTGTACCAACTTGCCGACCCCGAAGGGATGAAAGGCTCGATGAGCCTGAGGCGCGAGGATCGATTCCATGTGTATTGCAGAACGCCTCCGACAAACTGCGCTACATGCGCTTTCGATATGGGTTAAACGCTTAAAACTGATATGATTTTGTCCTCATTAGTTGACTTCTATTAGATGAGGCATTAGAACACGACCGAGACAAGGTTTATCACAATGACACCGAGACATTTACAAAACACGTAACCCCCGTTGAACTTCGCACCCACGATTACTCTTTCCGGGGGCTCACATGTTACCCACTGTACCACTGACTCGTTTGCTTCGCTTTTCTCTCAGCCAGTTTTTTACATTTGTATTGTCACCAGCAACCATCCGTCAACGGTACTGATCCAGGGAGCGCAAATCGGCACTGAACCGACTCGAACAGAGGTTCTATTTATTTCCATTGACGAGTGCTGATAGCACTGATCGATAGAGCTATTAGGTTGTAACATATGAAATGTGCGATCTTATTGTTTTATGTTTCCTGAGATTTTTTAAAATAAAACTTTGTTCTTTATGTATGTTTAATAAATATTTTTAAAGCACAAAGTCTGCTTTCTATCCCTAATATTGATTTTTTAAGATCTATTGTTTTACCATTTTTACAAGCTTTAACTTTATTATAAATCGACGTGATATTCGTGTCCATTTTTTGTATGAGCGGAAGGAATTGGACACAGTGTCGCGGCAGGAGCTCGGAATATCATCAAATCAAGTTTGGGGTGAAGACAGTGATAGTGAATCAGCAGTGCGAACGTGGTTCCGCAAATTCCGATCTGGTGGCTTCGATCTCGAAGTTAACGAAAGTCGCGAACGTCTTAGTGAACTTGGCAACGACGAATTGAAGGGACTGGTGGACGCAAACGTGCGAACGACTGCACGAGATCTTGCAGAACAGCTTGGCGTAAGCACAGGAACAATTCCCATTCACAATCTCAACCTCTTTATTTACTGCCTATTCTTTTTTTTTTAATGGCAGGGTATGTTGCGAAATATAACTTATATGATGCTGAGATATTTGCAAAACTCCGGACCGAAGGTGCTTGCGGTGGAGAACGAACGCGCTATTGTCTTTTCCGGGGAGTAACGCGTTCACCACCACACCATCCGGATCCTTCGTTTCGCCTGTCTCTCAGCTAGTTCGTTGACGTGTGATTGCTAATGGTAAAAGATCAATAGAACTAGCTGAAAGACAGGCGAAACGAAGGACCCGCATGGTGTGGTGGTGAACGCGTTTCTCCCTGGAAAGGACAATAACGCGTTCGTTCCCTAGCGCAAACCTCTGCGGTCCGGAGTTTTGCAAATATCTCAGCATTATATAAGTTCCCATTCAGTTGAATCGCACAGGAAAGACAGAAAAAGTCGACAAGTGGGCGCCGTACGAATTAAACGATAATCAAAAAAATCGCCGTTTTGAAGTGACATTTCCTCTTATTCTGCCAATAAAAACGGTCCTTTTCTTGATTGAATTGTGATGTGCGACGAGAAGTGGATCCTCTGCGACAACCGGCGACATTCAGCTCAATGGTTGGACTGCGATCAGGTTCACACCACATCGCAAAGCCAAAATTGCACCAAAAAAGGTTACGGTGACTGTTTGAAGGTTTGCAGCTGGACTAATTCATCACAACTTATTGAATCAGGGCAAAACGATTACGGCAAGGAGGTATTGCCAGCAAATCGACGAAGTGCACCGTGAACCCCAACAATAACGACCGGCATCAGTCAACAGAAAAGGACCAATCCTTCTCCACGACAACGCCCGGCCTCATGTTGCGGAACCAGCGCTGAAGAAGCTGAACGAGTTGGGCTACCAAACTGTGCCTCACCAACCATATTAATCAGTTCTTTCGCCTACCGACCACTTCTTCAACCATCTTGACAACTTCGTTCGCTAGAAATTCTTCACCAACCACGACGACGCAAAAAATACCTTCAGCGAACTCATCGCTTCCAGAACTCCGGAATTTTGTGCAGCCGAAGTAAATAAACTTGTTTCTTATTGGAAAAAGTGTGCTGATTTTAACGGTGTGTATTCCGATTAACAAGATTTAGTATGAAAAAGTTACGGTTACTTAAAATTTACATTTGAAATCGGACATTTCATGTGTTACAACCTAATAGCTGAGAAACAGGCGAAACGAAGTACCCATACAGTGTGGTGGTGAATACGTTAGCCGCCTGAAATGATAATAATGCGTTCGTTCCCCACCACATGCACCTGCGGTCCGGGGTTTTGCAAGTGTCTCAGCACCATTGTGGTTGTGTCACACATAATACCCTGTCGCGAAAAATTGTAGTAGGCAATAAACAAAAAAGATTAACATTCTGATTTCTACTACAGCCTCAGCTTAACTGGGTTCATTGCCGGTTTGAACTCCCCAGATCAATCCCGTTGGCGGGTGATTGCTGATAGCATTGATCGATAGGAAACTAGCTGAGAGACAGGTGAAACGAAGGACCCGCATGGTGTGGTGGTGAGCGCGTTACTCCCCAGAAAGGTCAATAGCGCGTTCGCGCCCCACCGCAGACACCTGCGGTCCGGAGTGTTACAAATATCTCTGTGCTACTGTGGTTGTATGTTTTCATATATATCAGCACGCTCAAATTGCTGGAATGTAGGCTTCGTTAGGTCTTGAGATGTCAGGTTTTCAAAAAAGTAGTGTTCACTGGATCATAATTCGTGCTCGGAGTCGAATAAGTGAGGCTTTTTCTGCTGGAGATCACCGCCATATCTGATCTATATCTTTGCGAAGTGGGTAAGATGAAGACCACGTGCATGGTTCACAGTTGGTCCGCGATAGGCGCTTCAACTTCGGGTGGGAGATTACTCCCCCACAGCAACGCAGCCGCTAGCTGGCCTATTTGGATGACCATCGCTCCATGACAGCGCACTAGTATTACCGCAAGACCAAATTAAAGTGTCGAAAACATCTTCAATAAATTCTCTTGGCAGAGGCAAAATGTCTTCTACACTTACGGGACTGAATCTACGTAGGATTGACGGAGTGATAGACGTTTTCCTCAGAGCTGTGCTATTACGAGAGTCCTCGTAACAGCACGGCTGAGGAAGACCAAATCGCCAAAACGTCAGCCATTGACCAAGGACAACAACGACAACGACAAGGAAAACCTATACCAGCCTCGCATCAATTCAACAAGATCGGTTTATAAGATCATATAGATAAATATGTCAATTATTTATGTTTAACGTTTTGTTTTCTGCCTTCTATAATTTTCATGGCAGGTTACTAATCGAAATACAACCACAACGTTGCTGAGATATTTGCAAAACTCTGGACCGCAGGTGTCTATGGTGGGGACGAACGCGCTATTATCCTTTCCGGGGAGTAACGCGTTCACCACCACACCATGCGGGTCCTTTGTTTCGCACGTCTCTCAGCTATTTCTATCGATCTTTTTGCCACAGC